ACGGGTTATTATTACCTCTATGGAGAGGCACACAACAGATACTAGTACGTGTCGTGCTTTTTTTCTCGAACACACCAATTTTCCCCGCCCCCTTTCCGCGGGGAAAACAGCCAGAGCCCTAGCAACCTGCAGCCCTGAGAGGAGTAGCCATTGGAGACTGGTCACTTTGTTCAAGCCAGTGTTGTCACCCACCAATATTCTAAATGAGTAGCTTCCGCTCAGTCCAGTTGTATCAGAGCAACAGCTAATTAGAAGCACTGCCGTGTACACAGAACTCAGCCTCTCTCCGATTATTCAGAAACGTAGCCACCTCTTTGCAGAAAAGGCTTACACATTAATGTAGCCAATTAAATTTATGCAGTACACATTTTTTGCTGTACCAGGAGGCGCAGCGGAAACCAAAACTCTTTTATTCAGACGCTTGCTAGTGATATACTAAATTACCATTCATTCATTTCAAGGACAGTATGGGAGGAGATGAAGCAGAGTAGAGGAAGCCAGGAAAGGGAGATGTTCCAAACCAGTAAAGAATCAGTTGTGTCTGGGAGGTGCTAAGGGTTAGATCTCACTACCTGGCAGAAAGCTGATGTTCACAGATTTAATAGCTCCCCGTGAACGATTGAGATCAAGCTACCAACAGCACTGTGCCTACAAATCCCCTTTATTTGACACCATGGTATGCCTGCTATGTTGTTAATTACCAACAGAGGCTGTTTCAAAAGAGCAAGCTTTTCACTTAGCCCCAAGGGGACCCTTGGAGCTGGAGACTTGATGTCACTCCACCCTGACCCTGATCCAGACCCTCCCAGGAGCCTGGCGACCACCTTGCACAAATGAAGAAACAGCTCATTTCACACTGCAGTTACCTGCAAACTATAACCTGAGTGACAAACACACCAGAGCACAAAGACAAAATTTCAGCCTGATCTGGACATATTTCTGAACTCATTTGAATCCTCACCTAGGTTACCGGTGGATGCCAAAACCAGTGGCAAAACCTGGGCTTCTTATCCTCCCTATATTTTTCCAAACCCTTGATCCTCAGGAATATCCTCTGCCTATGGTGATGCCAGCAACCAACATTCTGGTCTCAAAGGGGGGGGGGTCCACTTTCTATGTTCTTTTACAAAAACACCTGAACCTCTTCTCCTGGGAATGATGGAGGTGTAAATCAGGCTAACCCACTAGGTGTTTATGCCAGGATTCTCTTCAGTGAATGACACCTCATCCACCCAGCTCCCTCAGTTGGAACAGGTATGGTCATCCTTGACTCATTCCTTTCACTGACTACCTATATGATGTCAATCAACAAGTCTTGATGATTTTACTATGATACCTCCCTCCATTTATTCTGCTACTGCAATGGTTCAAGCATTTACCAATCTTTTCCTCAAGTATCACAATAGCCTTCTAACTGTTCTCTTTGTTTCCAGTATCAATATCCCCAATCCATCTCACTAATGGCTGCTAGAACAATCCCTCTAAAACAAACAAACAAACAAACAAACAAACAAACTCCTGATGACATCATACATATGTAAGTTCAAAATTCTGCAATGACTATCACTGATACAGAATAAAATAAAAAACTCCTTGGCCTGGCCTAAAGGTAATTCATGATCTAATTTCTGCCTACTTGCTTCACTTTATCTCTTGCAAAGACTGTCTATTTTAAAAACATGCTTTAAAGTTCAGCAATAATGTAATATCATTATTCCTCAGCATGGAATTTTCTGCAAGATCCTCTATCTTTCCCCTTTACAATTTAACAAATTACTACTCAATCTTTAGTTCTCAGCTCAACCATCACCACCTCTATGAAGTCTTCCAGATTGGCTTTGGTGTTTCTTTCCCTCTGCTCCCATTACTTCTTGTATATCATTTTTTGGCATGTCTGTCTCCTATGGTACTCTGTGTAGCACAAGCATGTCAAACTCGTGGCCAGCCGAGTTTGACATGCTTGCGGCATAGCTGTATCTTTTCACCTTTTACAGTATCTGGCACAAGGGATGCTTAATAAATGGTGAATTACTGATATTACCAGTTATTAGTTTAACAAATATTTATGAGTACTTGTGCTTTATATGAGTACTTTATGTTGAGTACAGACACTTTATATGCCTAAGTTTTCAATCTCAACAATTTGAAAGGATGTATTATCTTTATTTTATAGATGAGGACACTGGAGTTCAGAAAGGTTAAGAGACTCATCTAAAGTTAAATAACTAGTATGTGCAGAACTAGGATTTCCCCCCCACACACAAACACACTACTACCCCTGGTTTGTCTGGAAAGAAATAAAGCCTCATTTTATAACATCTTAAATGATTTTTTCATCTCTATAACCATAAACTGGACCTTTAGTGGTACTTTTAATATCCAAGAACTAGACCCCTTATAGGTCTCAATCCTTTATATTTCAAGTCCACACCAAAACAAACATGCATACAGTCTGTATTACTAGAATTGGGGCATTACAAAGCCTTAATGCTACATATCTGTGACTTGACCTTTTTTATGCCAGGTATGTGAATCTCCCAACTCTAGATTTTTAAAACAGCTTTGTTGAGCTATAATTCGCATACTATGCAGTTCATCCATCTAAAGTGTACAATTTATTGTTTTTTTTGGTATATTCACATATACTAAAACAATGCCATCATCACCACATTCTAATTATAGAACATTTTTGTCATTTTCAGAAGAGATTCCATACCCATTGCTCAGCTCTAGATTTTTAAAGATTAGTTGCCTGGTTGCTAGTGGTTTAGGAAGACTGTCTCTTTAGATGATTAAAATATCATCTTATGTCTTCCCTACAATGCTCTTCTGGAGCTATTCTATGTAATACTTTAAACTTGGGAAATAACATCACATACTTTTTTAAAGTTATACCTGGCCCAGTAAGGCTGGCTTCTGGTTCTATAAACACCAGAATAACACTTTGCTTCATAAATATGCTACTTGATAGACTGGCAGGTTCTAGGGCCGTGGTTTTCAAACTTTTATGCACATTGGAATGTCATTGGCCTGTTAGGGATCTTTAAAACATACTGATCCTATGTCCCACCCCCAGAGATCGTGTTTTGATTGGTCTGGGATGTGGCCTGGGCTTCAGATTTTTTAAAGGTCCCCAGGTAATTCTAGTGTGCAACCAAGTTTGAGAATATTGTCCTAGGGAAAGTGCCAGTTGTTTTCCAGTGTGACTGGAAGAATAGCAGCTGCTTCTCTCTGGCTTTCATCATTGCTTAGCCTTCCTATATATGCATCTACTTTGTCATTTTGGCTATCTTCAAATTTGCTCATTTCCAAGGTGTACTTAAGATTTGGGGTGGGTGCCCTGGCCAGGTAGCTCAGTTGGTTAAAGCATCATCCCAATAAGCCACGGTTTGGGGTTTGATTCAGGGTCAGGGCACATATAAGAATCACCCATGAATGCATAAATAAGTGGAACAACAAATGGATGTTTTTCTCTCACTTCCTCTCTCTCAAATCAATAAATAAAACATTAAAAATATTTTTTTAAAAAGATTTGGGGTGGGTCAAGAACTAATAAAAGTAATCAATAGCTAAGAATTTGTTAACACAATACACCAGGCAGTGTGCATACATTCTAGCATGCACTAATCTTATAAGACCCTTGCTATTTCCTTTTTGCATATGAGAAACAGGCTTACAAAGATTAACTTGGCCAAGGACTCCTAGTTGGTAAGTGGTGGAGCCTCATTTGTCTAACTGCCAGATCCGAGGTTGATAGCAATTATACACTTATTAGTAACAAAATTGTGGCTCTCGCACCATTGGAAGTGTAAGTTTCACTCCAAGACAAATGCCTTACAGTCATCTACACATCATCCTGAATAAATGAAAGCGTTGCCTTCCTCAGGATATGAATTTACCTACCATTCACATTATGTGTATATCTAAGAAAAATAGTGCTGGAAGGATAGGGAATTACAGGGGGATATAGAGAACCTTTAATTTTGTACTTTATGGTGTCTTGGATTGTCTGGATTTCTTTTCAAAGTAAATGATTACTTTTACTTTTATAATTAACTAGAGGTCCAATGCACGAAATTCATGCAAGAGTAGGCCTTCCTTCCCCCGGCTGCCAGCACCGGCTTCCCTCCGGCACCGGGGACCCGGGCTTCCCTCTAGCCACTGGCAGACACCTGGGACCCAGGCTTCCCTCACAGCCCAGGCTTCATCCAAAAGCTCGTCTGGAAGGATGTCCGGAAGGACGTCTGGTCTAATTAGCATATTATGCTTTTATTATTATAGATTATTATAGATGGCTGTCACCCTTGGATTTGGGGATTACAGGTAGTTTTAATTTTTCTTTATGAATTTCTCTATTTTCCAAAATTTCTATAATGCACATGGATCACTATTATAACACATATAGTTTATAAGTAATGTGCACATCATTTCTAGGAGTGTGCTTGAAATAAAATGTAAAGGATGCCTAGAATTTTATTACTTTCATAGAAAATTATCTAAGAATGAGACAGGATCTGTGTAGGCAGAGGAAAATTACCAGCAAACTATTAGCTGTAATGCAGACGTGGCAATCACTTGAAAGATGGCAAAATGAGGTAATTTTTATATTCCTAGCAGCCGCCACTGGTTAGAGGTATACACTAGCTTGTTCCCAGTGCAAATGACACCAAGCTAAACTCTGAGTGCTGAGATCTTGGGTTATATTTAGCAAGATTGGTTAGTTGTTATGGCAAGCAAGTGCTGAGGGTGTGAGTTGGGTCCACAGGTGAGTCAATTAACTCCACACTGTGAGTGACCACAAACCACACTCTGGCCAGGCCATTCCCTTTGCAAAGACAACGCTTGATCTAGGAAGGGCCAGGTGAAAATGTGGATGCATCATTAGGAAAACACCTTCAGCACTAGAAACAAAAGCCCAGAATGGCTCCATGCCTTCCTGAACACAGGTGCAGGAATCAAAAAGCGTGAATATTGGTCCAGGATGACTTGCTAACCCTTACCTGTCCGGGAGGGGAGCTCTCTGCACCCAACACCTGCCTATAGAACACTGGATCGCAGCTCCGCAGCGTGTTCTGGCAGCTGGCTAGAGGGCTGGCAGCCCCGGGTTTCTTCAGCAGCGGGTCGCTGCGGCGGGAGTCAGAGGTGAGGTACACCTGATGGTAAAGGTGCGGCGGCACCAGGCCTCCCCGCACGGCGTCCGCGTGCAGAGAGGGCCCTGGCGTGCGGTACAGGGAGCTCACGGGGGCTCGGTATAAGTCCCTGGACTGTTTCCACTTGTAAACTTTGAATATTATCACTCCCAACACCGTGACTGCGAACCCCACGGAGACCAGGATTAGAGAGAGGAGCAGATAAAAGGTGAGATTTTTATTCTGCTCCCCCGGGGCCGAGCCAGAGGGGAACTCCGCCCGGGCTTCCGGAGATTCCTCGGTGACAGACACAGTCAGGGTGGCGGTGGCCGACAGCGAGGGCTCCCCGCTGTCTTTGATCAAGACCGTGAGAGTTTGCCTGGGCAGGTCTGTGTCCTGGACGGGGCGGGCCGTGCTGACTTGCCCTGTGTGAAGGCCCACGGCAAACAGGCTCTGGTTGGGGGCTCCCAAGAGGCTGTAGGAGAGCCAGGCGTTGTAGCCGGCATCCGGGTCCCAGCCTACCACCCGAGTGACCACGTGGCCAGCCGCGGTACCTCGGGACAGCACCTCCACGGAGCTGCGGCCAGGCCGGGGGTACAGGACCTGGGGGGCGTTGTCATTGCGGTCAGTGACAAAGACGTTCACGCTGATGTTGGTGGTCAGGGCAGGGGTGCCCCCGTCGCTGACCTGAGCTGTGAATTCGAACTCCCGCCGATCCTCATGGTCCAGGGCCACTAAGGTGGACACCACGCCACTGTCGCGATGTATCGTGAAAAAGCGACCCACGAGCCCGGCGTCCGCTCCTGGCTCCAAGAGAAGGAAGGAAAGGCGCGCGTTCTGGGGGGCGTCGGGGTCCCAGACGCTGAGGTTCAGGATGGGAACCCCGGGGAGGTTGTTTTCCTCCACGTAGACGTCATAGGAAGACTGAGACGACTGGGGAGGGTTGTCGTTGATGTCGGACACTTGCACCCGGACCGTGGTCAGGGCTGAGAGGGAAGGGGCTCCGGCATCTCGAGCCGTGATGCTGAGGTTGTACTCGGGCACCGTCTCCCGGTCCAGGGCTGCGCTGGTTTTCAAAGTAAAGTAATTCTTGAGGGAAGAAGTAAGGCTGAAGGGGAGCCCTGGCGGGATCTCGCAAGTCACCAGCCCATTGTCCCCGGCATCCAGGTCCGTCACGCTGAGCAAGGCGATGACAGTCCCCAGAGGCGCGTCCTCGGGGACGGGGCTGTACACGGAAGTGACGGTGATCTCGGGGGCATTGTCATTCACGTCCACCACCTCGACCAAGACTTTGCAATGTGTCCCCTCGGGATTGGCGCCCTTGTCTTTGGCCTGGATGTAAATCTCGTGGAGTTTCGTGTCTTCGAAGTCCAGCCGACCCTTGACGGTCAGCACCCCGGTTACCAGGTCTAAGGAGAACAGTTCCCGCACGCCGGCGCGGTTGTGGCTGCCGAAGGAATACACGATCTCGCCGTTGGGGCCTTCATCCAGATCGGTGGCACGCACTTGCACCACGCGAGTCCCCGGGGGTGCGTCCTCCAGGACGCGCGCCCGGTACAGGGACTGGTTGAAGGAGGGCGCGTTGTCATTCGCGTCCAGCACGGCGATGCGAATGGGGAGGCTGGCGGAGCGGGCCGGGCTTCCCCCGTCCAACGCCGTGAGCACCAGCTGGAGACTGGGCTCTCGCTCCCGGTCCAGGGCGCGCTCCAGCACCAGCTCCGCGTACTTGGTGCTGTCCTCCCGCGTCTGCACTCGAAGCGCAAAGTACTCGTTCCGGCTCAGCTCGTAGGTTTGTAGAGAGTTGCTTCCGACATCGGGGTCGTGCGCGCTCTCCAGCGGAAAGCGCGTGCCCGGCGCCACCGCCTCGCTAATCTCCAATTTCATTTCCCGGGTAGGGAACGCGGGATTGTTGTCGTTGATATCCTGGATCACCACTTCCGCACTGAACAGCTCAAGCGGAGTGTCCACCACCAACTCCAGAGTGACGGTGCAGGAGGGCAGCGTCCCACACAGCTCCTCTCGATCCAGGCGGTCGTTCACGAACAGCTCTCCGGTCTCCCGGTTCACCTCAAAGAATCTTCGGCTCGCTCCGGACACCACCCGGAGCCTGCGAGCGGACAGGCTGCCGAGATCCAGGCCAAGGTCCGTGACCACGTTGCCCACCGCAAAACCCTTCTCTCTTTCCTCCAGGATCTCATAGCGAATGACGGCGGAAGCCCCGCGCAAGGCACCAAGCAGAAGCAAAACTCCCACCACTCTCCCGGTGCTTACCAGTCCGCTCCTCCAGGCCGCTGGGACCATCTCACTCAAGGGCAGTTCTCTTCGCGGGGTCCAGATCGCCCTGGCGTTTTCGCTGAGAAACTTTCAGCGGGTTAGCGCTTGAGCGCTGGGCGCCGAGTCTGACATGGCTTTCTAGATGCCTTTGATTTGCTCGTCGGCTGTTCAGTCTCTGCCTCATCCCGGGGCGCCGAGAGGGGACGGGCCCGGGCCAGATCTCCAGCGTCTTCATTGGCCGACAGCGGCACGCAGAGTCCCAGCCAATAACTGCACGAAGAATGCGCTAGCGCGGGGCGCTCGGAGCGGGACGAGCGCTTAGCGCCAGGAACTTCACTTTCCTTTGGCTCACTTCCAACGTTTACGGCCAAAGCGCCTTGGCAGCATCCGTACATCGGAAACCTAACTTAGCCTGGAAAGCCGATTGCAGGGCGATGAAGCTGGCCCTTCTGCAAGTCTTCAAGCCAAACCCAGGTCTATTAAACGTTTTAATGGCTGTCTTTAATCGCAACAAGGGGGAGTGGGCGGGGGAGATCAAACCAAACAACAACAACAAAAAATTGGTTTGTTGGAGGTCGAGTGAAACCTATTTAGCCGGACTCTATTAGTAAGGAGTAATTTAGCATTTCTATGGAGATGCTAATAATTGCAGTTTTATCTGTTACCAAATGAGACTTTAGAATTCCCTGTCACTTCCTCAGTAAAGCAACACAGGACCTACTACTTTCAGTTGGTTTAACTCGGTTTTATGGAATTTAAAAACTCAAAGCAGATTTCTTTTAAAACTGGATATTGTTTAGCTCTCATTTCCTAAGAACAATGTGAAATTTCCTACCGTTTTTCCCAATGAGCATAACCCCAATCATGGAGCATAATCTCAAACATTTCCCTTTACTTGATAAATGTGTTTCCCAAGAACTTGGGTTTGTATGCCACAAAGAGAAGTTCATTGCTAATAAAGGATAACACCTCTCCCCCCAAAGAAGGGGCAGACTTATTTACCACTTGAGACATTTATAAAATGATTGTGATATGGTTACAAAGCTTCACAAGGTCTTTAGAGAAATACAAAGCCTCTACCCACAGAATAAAGAGCCTCGACTTTTCCATATTTAAGATTGTAGTTACTAAACAAACAAAATAGCAACGATTAGGATAATGAATAAGAGAGTCAGGTATGAATAAGTCAGAGCTGAGTTGTACCGTATATCTTTGGACAATAAATTACCCTCTAAGGGTTCCTGAGTTCCTATCTACTAAATGAATGAGGCAGGCAAAACGACTGGCACAGAGTCAGCTTCAATTTATGATGCAAATCACCCCATTAGAGGTAACATTTTAGAGCCTCACATACCATTTCTGTATAACTGTCTAGGACATTACTTTGATTGCACAAAGTTCTTGCTGAAGTGTAACTGAACCTTGAGGCAGAGAGGTAGGCAGGCAGGTTAGATAGGTAGATAGGAAATAAGTATATATAGAATATCTATTGAAGAGATGAAAGGCCATATTTGACCTGTTTCTCTATGTCCTGAATACTTTAATTCACCTCTTAAAACCCCCATTTTTGAATACTCAAGCTTGACAATTGGCTAGACCACAGAAGTCTGAGAGGCATTAAAAGATAGAGTATATTCTATAGAATATATTAAGAATTTAGAATATAGTCCAGTCACTTGCTACTCAAAGTGTGAGTCAAGGACCAATGGCATAGGCATCACCTGGGAGTTTCTTAGAAATGCAGAAACGCCCCACTTCAGACCTACAGAACCGGAATTTGAATTTAACAAACTACCTGGGTGATATGAGTGCACATTAAAGTTTGAGAAGCACTGATCTAGTGGGTTATTCAGAGATAAACTGATTTATCAGTCATTTTTTTCCATTCACTATCTATTGATAACATGTCTTTTCAAAACTAGTTTAAAAGGTTGAAGTTGTTTTCCCATTCATAAGGCCCATAGTTTTCCTGAGACCTCTTCATAAGCCAGCAGAACTCTCTTGGATCTATTCTTCACAGTAGCCAGAATGATCTTAACATTTTAATTGGATCATGAGTCTTCAACTCAAAAATCCTCAGTAGCATCTCACTGGTCTTGAAATAAAATACCAAATCCTTCGTATAGTATCCAAGTTTCATGTCTTCTTCTCTTGATATTTCCAGCTCTGCTTTCAGTGTGGGCATCAGCCAAGCTCTTTAGTGCCCCCAGAGCCTTCACACAGACTATTCCTCGCCTAAGAAAGCTTCTTTCCCTTCCCTCCCTTTGCTTTGTTAATTTCTACAAATCTTCCAGGTCTCAGTTTAAATGTTATTTCCTAACAGAGGTTGTCCCTTAGACCCATTTAAAACCAGGATCCTTTGTTACGCTCTGTCAGAGCACCTTATATTTTCCTTTGTTGAATCTAGCACAATTAAAATTTTTGTAATTATTTTTTGTTTTAGCATAATGTCTACCTCTTCAGCTAAAAAAAATAATTTTTAAAGCTGCAGGAGGGCAGAGACCATGCCTGTTTTGATGATCACTTGTATCCCTGGTGTCTAATACAGTGGGCACTTAATGCTTCCCCCTCCTAGCTTTATTGAAGTATAATTGACAAATAAAATTGTATGAATTTAAAGTATATGAGTGATGATTTAATATATGTATATATAATGAAATGCTTATAATATAGTTAACACATTCGTCACCTCACCTAGTTACCATTGTGTGTATGTGTTAAGAACATTTAAGATCTATTCTCTCAGCAAATTTCAAGTATATAATATAGTACTGTTAACTATAGTTACCATACTATACATTAGATTCCCAGAACTTATTCATCTTATAACTGAAACTTTGTACTCTTTGACCAACATTTCCTTATACTTAATGCTTATTAATATGGCAATCATCATGCTAATGGCATAGCATATATATATATATATATATATATATATATATATATATATATATATATATATATATATATATATATATATATATATATATATATATTGATATATATATATATATATATATATATATATATATATATTTATTTATGTGCATCTATAAACATTTTTGGAAGATACAGCTACTCTTTTAAGCTACCAGATGGCCTAATAAAACTATTTCTTAGCATAATAATTTGAAAGAGAAAACATAGTTTGCCAAAGAACCAGTGAGGTGTGCTAATATAACTCACTGGAGATAAATAAAGATGGCATAGCTTGCTGTGTCACCTATATCCAGGGGAAATGGAAGCACCAGTGTATAGGACCAATACAATTTTCCGGTCTCTAGCTTCTGTCCTCTTTGTCTTAGGATTTAAGAGAGCCTCTAATCAATGGAGATGCACAAACATAATGTAACTTTTAAATAGAAAGTCAATGTATTAAAGTGATCAAGAGCGAGGCTTTGGTGTCCAGAAGACTCGAGTTCCAATACTGGATATTACACTTAGTAGCTATGTAACCATGAAGGTTTTATTTTTAACTTCTCTTTTATTTTCTTGATCTGTAAAATGGGAATAATAATAGTACTCTTTGACATAACCACAGGCATCTTAATCTTTTATTTTAATCTTTTAACAGCTTTATACTTACCATAGAGGTCACCTAGACAATCAGTGATTTCTGGTAAATGTATACAGCTATGCAACCAACACCACATCCAGTTTTAGGATACTGCTATCACCCCCAAAAGTTTCCTTATGCCTGTCTGCAGTCAATCTCCCAGCCTCAGGCAGCCACTTAATTACTTTCTATGTAGTGTTGCCTTTTCTGGAAGTTTCATAAAAATTGAGTTATAAAATATATAGTCTTCTGAATCTGGCTTCTTTTGCTTAGCATAATGTCCAACCCAATTCTTAACTACACCCTCAAACCTGTTCTTTCTTGAACCTTTTTCGTCTAATAAGGGGCCCTGCTAGCCCAGTCAAAAATTCCTAAGTCATTCTTAACGTCTTTTCCCATATCCCCATCACTAGTTCCATCATTACTAGTTCATGCCAATGCTTACTACCTCCAAAATATATTTGAATATATCAATTACTCTCTTTCTCTACAGCCACTTCATGAGTCAAAACCAACTTAAATACTGTCATAGCTTTCTCTCTGGTCTTATTTCCTCTTTTGTTTTCCCTAAATTCTATTTCACATGCAGAAATCTGAGGGATCTTTCAAAAAAAATGTAAGTTAAATGATATACTCTCCTTGGTAAACATAGTGCTTGGTACCAGGGGTGGCTACCTAATTTGTGGGATTAATGCAAAAATGAAAATGGGCTCCTTGTTTAATAATTAATAATTTCAAGATGGTGACAATAGAGCATTAACCCAAGTGCAGGGCTCTTCTAAGAATGGGGCCAGTGTGACTGCACAGTTCATATGCCCATGACGCTGGCCTTGCCTAGCACAGAGGACGCTCTCCACAAATATTACCTAATATTGATCCCAGAGGGTCAGTCATATCAGAAAAGCCTACTCATGATACTCTTAAATTACTGCATTTTAGGAAAAATATATGTATTATCCCCTTAAAATCCTAAATATCATCTAATAATCTTTCAACATAATCTAATTTGCCTATTTAAGGAACATCCTAAGGTCAAATTAAGGGATCATTTTAGGAGAAATGGCATAAAAACAGATAACCAATAGATCAATCAAACATATATCACAATTTAGACAGGCGAGAGATTCAAGGGTTTGGTGAAGAAGCTGAATGGTTTAGCCTTAATATTTATCTGAAGTTTATGTGTGTGAATTTTTTTATATATTAGGATTTTAAAAGATGATCTACGAATATTAAGAATAAGTTTTTTAAAATATATTTTATTGATTTTTTACAGAGAGGAAGGGAGAGGGATAGAGAGTTAGAAACATTGATGAGAACCTGGGACCCTTCAGTCCGCAGGCCGATGCTCCATCCACTGAGCCAAACCGGTCAGGGCAAGAATAAGTTTTTTAAGATCTCCATTTTATCTACCCTTAGGACAAGAAAAAATTATCTTATAAAAATATTTTGAACAAGAACAGATCCAGAGACAGAGAAGCATCGATCAGACCGTCAAACCTCAGAGGGAAGGTAGGGGAGGGTGGGGGTAAGGGGGAGAGATCAACCAAAGGACTT